GATAAATTATCTACTACATTTTTAATTAAGGTCTTTAAAGTCTCGATCTTGTTGTTAGAAATGCATACTGCAATCCACTGAAATAATTGCTGCTGCTGCTATTGATGTTCTCAGATTTTTAGATCAATATTTTTGCTTACTCTAAACTGACCAATCAACATTATTACATTTATTATAACATTTTAGAAATAAACTTAATTATGAAAAATAAACTTAACATTTTTCCAATCAAAAATAAAAATTAATCACGAAAGCTGATAATTGAAAATGATCATAAATATTTAACATATTTTTTCAATAAAAAAAGTTGCATTTTGACATTGTGTAAATAAACATTTCAGATTGCAATCAAAAACAATATTTACATAGGAGGTGATTAAATTATTACAAATAACCTCAAACTACACACTAACCACAAAAGGACAAATTCCCCAGGTTATGAAATACTTCTGATTTCTTAAGCAGATAATGTACTTTAACAGGCTACTGTCAGATTTTGTTGTATAATAACAAAGAAAGTAGGTAAAGATTTTAAAGGATAAGTTTTTAAGTTAAAATCCTGATTAGTTTTGGATTATCAGATTTTACCATAATGTTGATTTAGAATTTTGTGTGAAGACATAATAATTTTGATAATTACATCAGATATAGCATGCTTTTTAGATAAACTAAATATAATAGAAATAAAGAAAATAAACATTTTTTTTGTAAAAGAATATTTTTAAGATCTCATTTCTTAGTACAAATGTACATTGTAACCGAATTCTTTCATTGGAGAATATTGCAGATTTTTGGCAGGAGTTAACCGATGTTTTAAATTAGAAAAAATTATTGGTTAAAATAGCTGTCAGATGAACTTTTGTTATTTTGAAAGCAAAGTAGATCTCATATGCCCTACATCCCATGATAGTAATTCCAGTTTTTACATGAGCAAGGGTCATAACTCTTGAAAGGCAACTGTCAAATCATTAAAAAAATTTTCATTATGCCTGCCCTTAAAAGTTGTAGCATTCATAATCAGATGAAAAAAAGAGTCGATCTCTGTGCAGTTTGCATACATGTGCAGGTACTAAAACTATCATCTTAAAACTAATACTGAACAAATTACCAAGGTCTGCATTGATCTGTGTTTTTGAGAAAAAATATGTCAGCTCAGAAAAAAAAATATACATAAATTTGTGGCAGCTTTTCTGTACTTCTTAAACACCAAATTATATATAAGGCTTCAATTCATGCATTTTTTTATTAGTTATCATAATCAGTGCCTTAAAAATGGTACAATACAATCCGAGTAAAACATGCTGAATTCATGTTGAATACTGGGCCTTTGACAGGAAACCAGTTACATTGTAAGATGTCATGAATTACATCACGAGGACATGTGAATTATGTTATGTACACTTCATCTGTCATAAATGTGTTGGTATTTCGTGTGTTAATTGTTGTCCGTTACAACATAAAACTATAGAAAGTATGTTCTCTACACAATTAGTTCAATGTTCCATGCCTTAATGGACAGTCCATTACACGATGATAAAAGCTGTATATACTCTGTCATTAACTTTGGACCACATTTAATTGTCAGGCCATAGGGTATTTTTTGTGGCAAACTGACTAGCATTTGTAACTGTCTTAGCTATTAATCTGAATGATAAACAGATCCTATACGTGTCCATGCACACTTCGCTTTCAAGGATCTTTTATAGATTGATTTAAAAAAATGAGATATAACACAAGAATATTTTTGATAGAAATTCATATTTTTAAATCTTAACTTTGCTGCCATGATATTTGTCCTGAGAAATTGTATATGTTGTAAATTACGGCTCGATGACAGGTCTAGAAGGTTTCACCTCAAAACAAACAGAAAAGATAGGTAATGGGAAACTGTTGTTTCAGAATCTAATAGACTAAAATTGGATAGTTTGATTGTTTGTTCCCCAATATGAAAATAGTGACATATTTTTGGTGTAATTTCTATTGTTTAGGAAGTGTCAAATTAGTGTTTTGGTGTTCTGGAGGGTTTGAAAATATTACCCAGAATGCATTACATTCTTATAAAAGTGAACTATGATTTAGAAAATGTACAAGTGATACATGAAGATACAAAAGTAATTGATTGATTGATTGTTGGTTGCTTAACATCCAGTGGCAAATATTTCATGCATGATCTGGACAAGAACAAATTAACAACAAATACAATAGGTTGGTCCAGTGTAATAGAGGTCGTCAGGGATGAAGGTCAGTTGAAATTTGCATTGCTACTTGGAAATGAGGGTATATTGGTTAGGGACAGAAATTTTGCCTTACAACAGGCTACCTACGGACCCCTCAAAGACTTGTTGCAAGGGTTCTTAGCATGCAGAGAGTGTGGGACTCTCTCTATACAAGGCATCGATTTTAAAATTATCATTCTGACCGGAACATGGCTGCGTACTTGCACATCCCAAACAGTCAAATAGATGCCGCACTTTGGTGAAGGTTTTACTTCTGGTTGGAAGAGACCGAAGTGACCATATTTCAATTCCCAGTAACCCTTGGGGTTACAAAAGTAATGGTTCATATTTAAACAAAGATTTTTTTATTATTTCTGAAAGATGAAAAGCTACATTTTTTTCCCCTAGCCTCCCTATACCAAGCAAACTTTTACGTCACCTTTAATTAATATGTCTTATATTAAACACACACACAACTAATTTAACCTAATAAAAAAATATGATAAGGATATTTAAAAAAAAAAATTCCATCTATCCTAAATGTAGACAGAGATATAAGCATCACCCAGGACAAATTTAATGGTCACAAAGTATTTGAAGTATGTCCATTACTGAGATATCTATATAATATACAATGTATACTGTATATAAAGTGTTAAATAAGTAGTTAGGGGAAGGATGAATTGTAATACAAAATATACTAATAAGTAGTTAAGGTACTGTAAAGTAGATACCTGACGGGAAAATAAATAATATATCTCAGTAGGCTGTCTAGAAAGAGGCTAATGAGAAACAGGTGAAATATAGGACAGAGACCTTTTATTTTGTTTATTCATGATTTTTGTCGAGCCTTCGACTTTAGTCGAAAAAGCGAGACATAACGATCCTACATTCCGTCGGCGTCGTCGTCGTTGTCGTCGGCGGCGTCCACAAATATTCACTCTGTGGTTAAAGTTTTTGAAATTTTAATAACTTTCTTAAACTATCCTTGATTTCTACCAAACTTGGACAGAAGCTTGTTTATGATCATAAGATAGTATCCAGAAGTAAATTTTGTAAAAATAAAATTCCATTTTTTCCGTATTTTACTTAGAAATGGACTTAGTTTTTCTGCCGGGAAATATTACATTCACTCTGTGGTTAAAGTTTTTGAAATTTTAATAACTTTCTTAAACTATCCTTGATTTCTACCAAACTTGGACAGAAGCTTGTTTATGATCATAAGATAGTATCCAGAAGTAAATTTTGTAAAAATAAAATTCCATTTTTTCCGTATTTTACTTATAAATGGACTTAGTTTTTCTGCCGGGAAATATTACATTCACTCTGTGGTTAAAGTTTTTAAAATTTTAATAACTTTCTTAAACTATCCTGGGTTTGTACCAAACTTGGACAGAAGCTTGTTTATGATCATAAGATAGTATCCAGAAGTAAATTTTGTAAAAAAATAAATCCATTTTTTCCTTATTTTACTTTTAAATGGACTAAGATTTTCTGCCAGGAAACAACACATTCACTCTGTGGTTAAAGTTTTTGAAATTTTAATAACCTTCTTATACTATTTTGGATTTGTACCAAACTTGGACAGAAGCTTGTTTATGATCAAATGCTAGTATCTAGAAGGAAATTTTGTTTTCTTCCAGTTAACATTACATTCAGTCTGCAGTTAAAGTTTTTAAACATTTATTAGATTCATAAACTATCCTGGATTTTTACCAAACTTAGGCAGAAGCTTCTTACAATCAAAAGATAGTATCAAGAGGAATATTTTTATTGATTTACTTCCTCATTTTTGTTGAGCCTGCGATTAACAGAAAAGTAGGCGAGACACTGGGTTCCGTGGAACCCTTACGAATTTTTTACTATGTAATTACATATGGGTAGCTATTTTATTGACCACTTTATCAATGAATGAAAAATGGGGATTTGGACATATCTATTTTATTAATGCTCTGTACATTAAATCAGTCAAAGTGTTTAATTTTTATCAAAAATGATGTTTAAAAATATTCAAAAAAAAATGCTTATTTAAGATATGTCCAAATCCTTATTTTCATTCATTGATAAAAAAATTAGCATCATTCAGTCTGTAAAAGGTTTGGGAAAAGAGTGATCGTGAATGAGGATAACATACAGTTTTGTATATTAGCAAAAATCATCAGGTTTGATTACATTTTTAATGAATACCAAATTAAATTAGGATTGGAAATGAGGATATTTATATACAAATTTGTATATGAACAGAAGTGGTCAGGTTTTACCTCATTTTTATTGAATACCAAATAAGGTTGGAAATATGTTATCAGTAGAGGCAAGATTTAATCAATGGCGAAATTGATGTTGTATCTCAAAAATCATTGCATAGAGGCTATTTGAAAAAACAACTAAGTAAAAATACGATTATTAGGCTTAACAGGAGAACTACACTCTTGTTTATTTATGAAGTTTAATGTATATATAATGTAAGCTAAATCATAAAGTATGATTAATGTAAATGATGGGGATATGATGTAAGATAATGCAAAATGCATGTAAGGAATAATTTGTATATAACAATTGAAATTCCTGAATTTTATATTTTTTGTGTATTATACCGGTAGAAAAAGTAATAAATATCAAAACAAAAAGATAAATCTCCAAAAAGGTAATGAAAGATTAAATTTGAGAATGGAAATTGAATATATATTATTTAAATATGAAATTTAATAATAAGAAGGATAATTTTGTTTGATGTATTTTGTAAAATTTAATGTGAAATTCATAATTCCAATTCTGTATTTGTAGGAAGAAGATGAATTCATAGGTTTTGCTTCATTACCAGAACAGGTTCACAGAAAGGCTGTTAGACGAGGATTTGATTTTAGTTTGATGGTGTTAGGTAGGCATAAACTGTTAATATATATGAGAGACAGACAGACTATTGTCAACCCCAAGGGTGACTGGGGTATAACAATAGAGTCACTTTTGATCTTCTTCATACTGGCAGTAAAAACCATTCAATGTAGAGCATTCATTTGGTTGTGCAGGATGTATTAAATAACAGCAATGTATGGTAGAAAGGGGACGTTAAATCAGATGCCTTGTGCAGAGATAGTGCCACCTCTCTGCATGTTAAAAACCCTTGCAACAACTCTTGTGGAGGTTTGTAGGTGGCCTGCTTCAAGACTAAATTTCTGCACCTAACCAATATACCATAATTTTCCGGTTACAGTCCAAATTTCTCGTCCTTATCTGTTGACCCCTACCACAGGACCTACCTATTGTATTTATTGTTAATTTGTACTTGTCCTGAACATCCATGAAATATTTGCCACTGGATGTAAAGAAAACATCAATCAAGCAGGCTATTGTGAGAAAACTTTCATAAATACAAAAAAGTAGGGAGAAAGTAGGTGGAAGGAGAATGGAATGGAGAAAAATGTTGAAATGAGGAGAGAGGGATGGAAAGGTGACAGAACAAGGGTGGTGGTAGACTGAGAAAAAAGGATAGAAAGGAAATTGTAGGTAGGAGAGAAGAGAGGTCAGGGAATGAAGAAAGGAGAAAGATGATATATTTTTGTCCAAGTAGTATGGGTATTAATTGCATAAATACAAGACTGTCTATTATAAGAAATGCCCTCAAATCGCAGATCACCCTCTGGACCAGAGAAAATTTACCTTATAAGATAGTTGACTTTTGAATTGAACTTTAAAAATAACTACAGCAGAAGAAAAGGGTTATCTGACAAGACAGATTTTAGCTTAAAAGAGATGACATTGATCACTAGTTATATGGTAGTTTGAAAATGAAAATGTCCCAAATCACTTGCAAAAGTGTTAAACAAAGCATCCAATAGATTAATTTGGATAATTACTTCAATATTTCTGACTTGGCTTATTCACTAAATCTCAAGGGAGGTAATTGGATTATTTTATGAGACAGGCATGCAAAGGGGAAAAGGGAATTCACTCCATATGAAGAATATTATGATATCAGTAATATGAATATAGCTATTTTAACTACTTTGTATTGATTATGATAAAACTTCCATAGATAACCTATAAATAATGCCTTATAATGTCTCATATAATTACATTGTCAGGAAATCATACAGATATGATATTACATCATTATTTATTATTTCACGTTTATTTTTTGTCTGGATTTTTGCAATTGTCATTCATAAGATGTAAATCTAGAAATCTTTAATATTATATAAGAGAGTGTGGATGGGGTCCTGCTTTTCTGTATTCTTTAATTTTTTAGGCCGTTTTTTCCTCTATTCTTTATATTTTAGCACCCCATTATTCTCTATTCTTTATTTTTTTCAACCATTTTTCTCTGTTCTTTATTGTTTTGGCCTTTTATTCTGCACTTTTTGCCCATTATTCTCTATTCTGTAAACCCCATCCAGACCCTCATGTAATAGTAATGGGATTTTCTTATACATTAAGATTTGAGAAAAAAAATTACAATGTAATTGTGACTTCACAGATTCCCCTTCAAAATTTTCAACATTTTATGACTCAATTTTAAAATGGAATTTCTGATAGATGATCATACAAAGAATTGAGATGTCTTATTGCATAACAGCCATAGAAATTTGTTGTTAGAGATCAGAAGGTTTTTAAAAAAGGATTATTGTTTAGGGAAAATTGCATGACAGCTTTCTAAACTAGAAATGTTGAAATTAAAATAGGGACAAGAACGTTAATATTTTTGCAGAATATTAATTAATTTAGCTACATTACGTCAATGTCAGTATTTTCCCTTAAAGAAAAGGGTTAAAGGGGACTGTCATTGGTTTTGTGAATTAAACATGACAATAAAAACGTGATGTCAAGTGTTTATGAGATGCCATAAATGTCAGAACTATCTTGGTGGTCTCATGATAGCATACTTGGATCAAGTGTTGGAGGTTGTGGCGTAGTATAATGGTTGACTCAAACTAAAGATTTTAAAATTGGTATTTCTTACCTCACAATTAAGCATTCAGCTTTAGAAGTTTCAACACTATGCCAGTTCTGCTAATTGTCAGAATAAAGTTTCAATGTAGAATTTTTAGTCTTCCTGGTCAGTTAGCCAATTGAAAATCTGACCAGCATGTCCAAGTAGTAAAAAGTGAAAAGTGAAAATAAGAAAGAATGTTTCATCTGAATACTGAACCAATAGCATTACACATTACTAATCATAGAACAGACTCGGTGATAGCTCAATTTCTTTTTGGATCTACCATTTTCAATAAATTTGATGGTTTAATAAATGTTATTAAAAGTTTACAGTACTGAATAATTAAAGAAAATTATTCTGATATATTGGCAAACCTCAATGACTTCTTTGAGGATTAGATTTCCTTTGACCAATAGCCTTTGAGCAGAATGTTCTACTTGAACAGTAATTTCTGTGCTCCTACATTTGCAACAAAAAAAGTATTAAAACAATAGAATTGACCTTTTGCAAGAAGTTTCAGTTGTAAAACAAATAAAAATTCAGCAGTTTGTGGCAGTAAAAGTGTTACTATGACGTTATAATGACTGCAGTTGTGAGCTATTGCAAGAACCATCTGTATTGCACATTTTTATGTTTAAGTTTGTTTTGCAGGAGACTCTGGTCTTGGAAAATCCACTCTGATAAACAGCCTTTTCCTTACAGACTTGTACAAAGACAGAACTATCCCAGACACAGCTGGTAGGAATTTAAGTACAATGTATAATATTTTTATGGGTTATCATTCACTATTTTGTCCATAATGATGTTATAAAAATCAGGAGATATGGTATGATTGCCAACAAGACAACTATCAACCAAAGTTTAAATGAAGTGGATGCAAGCAATTATAGGCAACCATAAGACTTCAACAATGACAAACCATTCAGTTGAGAAAACTTACAGCCTAATTTATAACAAAGCAATTTACAAAAAACAAATATGTATTTGTATTAACTAAGAAAAAAAGGCAGTATATATATATAATGTAAATAGACTTTTGTTATGACTGTAATTGTAGATGTGCAATGCAATTTGAGTTTTATAGTTCGGTTAAGATTTCACAACAGTAAATTAAAAAGAGGAATCAAATTATATCTGTTATGTGGAATTACTACCTGTACTAGCTACTTTTCACAAAAATGAGATTCTACTATTTCTTAGAAATCTTACTGAATCTGTTATATTTGATATGAAAAGATAGGATTCATTATTAAAATGTTTTACAGATTAGCAGAGCAAATTTGGTTTATGTCCTGCCTAAGATAGTAAAGGAGAATTGTGTTTTTCTGTCTGTGTGTCCATCTGTCTGTTAGTCCAATCTGTCCCATATCAGGTTTACTTTTTGGTTTTTATCTAAGTTAAAGCTTTGTATTAAGGGTAGTTTGTAAACACATCAACTTGAAACTTAGTACATCTGTTCATTATGAAGTGAACTGTTAAATATATATACTAAATTAGAGTTTTGACCAAGATTTCATGGATACTGAACATGGAAATAAGAAAGTGCATTAGTGGGGTATGGTGCACTATTGATGCATATTATTAGTTACATGGTGTGTTAGTGACCTAATACGGTATATATGGGGTCAGTAAATTTCACATGGGGTGAGAGCGAAGAAGCTCTCACCCCATATGGAATTTACTGACCCCATATATACCGTATTAGGTCACTAGCACACTATGTAACGAATTTATCTTACCGACTATCTTAACGTGTGATATTTAGACTAGTAACCTATCGAAGTGAGCAAGTCTGAATTCAATACCGTTAGCATAACGAAAATATTTCCATTGATCCTACAAAAACAGATGCCAACAATAAAAACTTGTTAGCTTTAAATGTGTTTTATGAATTTATTTCAATCTTAATCATCAATTTCTTCGTTTGTTGAAACCTTTAAGATTTTTTCTCAGTACTGTTTTGTTTTTATAAAGGGACGTAACACCACTACTAACCGTGTATTGAAATAAGCCCCGCCTCCCTACTAACCTAATATGGAATATACACGGTCTCCACGCGGACGCTTTTAACCAATCATATTCCTAGAAATGTATAGGAGGTTAGATAATATTAGTTACACGGTGTGCTAGTGACCTAATATGATATATATGGAATTTACTGACCCCATATATATCGTATTAGGTCACTAGCACACTGTGGCATTTAGACCAGTGGCCTATCAAAGTGATCAAGTCTTCAATATTAAGAACCTGCTTCCATTGGTCAATACAAAAACAAATGCCAACAATAACAACTTGTAAGCTTTTAATGTGTTTTATGAATTCATTTCAATTGTTCATCATCAATTTCTTCATCTGTTGTCCGGGTGAAACGTTTCAGATTTTTCCTCAATGCAGTGTTGTTTTTATAAAGGGACGTAACACCACTACTAACTATGTATTAAAATAAACCATGCCTACTAACCCCATATGAAATATACAGGGTCTCCACATGGTTGCTTTTAACCACTCATATTCCTAGAAATGTAAGATAATCTTGTTTAACATACTGTGTTTTGAATGTATTGAAGAAAACTGAAATTTTCTCGGATAATTGATTTCTTGGATTTGCCAAAGTCTGTATACAATCCTATTAAAAAATGTGTACTTTGTTGAACGTTTAAATTCGTGGTTTACCTGTATTCTTGAAATCCCCAAAAATAGGTATCCCATGAATAATATTGAATCCATAGCATATACGAAAATAACAAGATGTGGTAAGGATTGTCAATGAGCCAACTCTTCACCAGAGACCAAATGAAATAGAAATAAGCAACTATAGGTCACCATACAACCTTTACAGTTTGATCAAGAAAACTAATGACCTAATTTGTGTACAAAACAAAAAAAGAAAAACAAATATGATATACAGGAACAAACGACAACCACTGAAATACAGGCTCTTGATTCGATAGAATATGGTAGAGGTGGTGAGGAATTTCATTGGTCTGTTTGATGCATATTTTCTATCATCCATTCCTTTTTCTCAACCTTTCTAGAAGGGATTAGCTTATCATAACTGTTCGAAAGAATCTTAGAAATTTAAGTACTGCAACATTTATAATGTATCAATGCTTTTACAGATCTTGTTGAAAGAACTCTTTCTACAGTGAAGAAACAAATAGAAATTGAAGAAAAAGGGGTCAAAGTCAGACTGACAATTGTAGATACCCCTGGATATAATGATGCTGTTAATGCTGAAGACAGGTAAGTTTACACTGCCAATTGAGGACAACTCATGTTTCTGGAAAAGGCTTGAGACTTATAAAAGGTTGGAAAGCAAAAAATAGTAAATCTTTAAATTGATAATCAAAAGGTCCTAAACAGAACATCTACATCCATCTGAGGTCACATTTGCCTGAAAGATTTGCAACCTTTCTTTTTATACAATTACATGATTTATGTATTGGATTTTTCACAAAAAATGTATCATATAGATGTAGGTATGTTAGCAGACACTATAACACTGTTTATTGTGAACAGAATAACTATGTTAAATACTTTATATATAATGATAAATGAAAAAAAATCATGTTGATTTTTTTTTCAGTTGGAAGAGAGTTGTTTCATATGTCGATCAGCAATTCCAGTTATATTACCAGGCAGAGAGTGGGCTGAACAGAAAGAATATCAATGATTCACGAATACACTGTTGTTTATACTTCATCTCTCCCTACGGTCATGGGTAAGTTATCCAGGATATTTGGATGTAATATTGTTTGAAACTTAAAAAACATAAATGCTCAATTTTGAATAATTTCTGTTTCATAGTATCCTAAAATGTGGTTTGGCCAATAAATTGGGGCTATGTCAGTGCAATTAATGCAATTTAAAATCGTGTTGCAGAACATTACGTTTGTAAATTTAAAAATGCATGTTTTTATAATGTTATGGATGTGCTGTCAGAAATACTGTCATTATAAACAACTGAAAATTATGCTTTATTTATGATATAATTTTTTATAAAAGGGAAAAATACAAAATGTTCCCTTACAGACTATACATACTTGCAAAATAAACAACTCTTACCATAGGACATACAGTAACTCTTGAATATTTGGAATATTGATATATAATCAAACCTGATATACAGGTCACCTCTTTTAATTGAAAACCTCTCATGTAATGCTGTAGAAATGCATATGCATATTGAAGGTCACCTCTCTTCTCTGGCTTTAAGGATGACCTTGATATACAGGTTACTGTTCATGAATTATCTTAAAAGGCATTAAAATACATTCCTTCTTGTACAAAATTAGTATCTAATAAATTTCTTTTTTTCTAGGTTGAAACCATTAGATATTTTAGTAATGAAAAAACTACATAATAAAGTCAACATTGTACCTCTCATAGCCAAGTCTGATGTTCTCACACCGAAAGAGGTCAAAAGGTTAAAAACCAAGGTCAGTATATCACATTGTATATTAAAAAAAAAGACTAAAAAGCATTGATGCTTATTAGACAAATAAAAAAAAAACTAGAGAAAAACATCAAAATAAAAGAGAAATGCATAAACTATAATCCTGACCACAGTTAAATTCCACAGTATTAGGTCCTAATGGCGGAGTGTTGTAGGTAACCTATAGACGTCATTGTGCACAAATTATTCCTTCAGTCAGTCATTGATTGTTACAATCGTTTAAAGAAGTAAACTAAATTATTGATGTGAGATATTTTGCTTGTTAGTTGCCTTAGTATACTTCATGATTTCAGATCCTATGGGTTAATTAGGGTATAGGTACATGGTCACTGGGACTTCTACTGTTCAACATTTAAACCCATGCTGATGGAGTGTCTATTTGGCTCTGCAGAATGTACACCTGTTAATATTTGATAAAAATAATTGGAAAGAGGTTGATAAATTTAAAATAGAAGACATGAACCCCTTCAGTGATTGTCATGTGTCATATCCTAATGTTTTTCATTATTTGGAGAATTGGGTGTTAATGGCAGATTTTTTATTGTTTCTTTTAAATTTATTCCCATCTTTTATAGACTCTGGATGATTATGGCTTTACATATTGTATAGACACCTTTCTACTGTTATAGACTCTAATTTGTTCTTTGAAGATGTCTTTCGGTTTTATTCATCATTGGGTTGCTGTCTCATTAACATACCGTATACCCCATATCTTCTTTTATTCATAAAGTATCTTAGAGAACTAAGTTACAGGTGATTTTTTTTTATGTAAGTAGCTTTTATACTGAAGATGATTTACATTTATTTTTCAATTGTTAGGTATTGGAAGATATTAGAGAGAACGATATCAACATTTATACATTCCCAGAATGTGACAGCGATGAAGATGATGAGTTCAAGGAACAAGATAAAGCTCTCAAGGTTTGTTGAAAAACTTATTTTAAAGAAAAAACATATTTGTCCCAAATAAAACTAGACACTTGAAATTTAAACTTAATGCACCGCAAGTCATAGCTTTTGCATAACAAAACCTGATGAAAATAAAATCTAGTAACTTTTGAAAAAAACAAAGCGCAATCAATAATTTTTTAAACTTTTGTAGAATTGTAGAAATTAAATATACATTTAAGAAATTTGTAGAATTGTAGAAATTAAATATACATTTAAGAAATTTGTAGAATTGTAGAAATTAAATATACATTTAAGAAATTTGTAGAATTGTAGAAATTAAATATACATTTAATTTAAGAAATTTGTAGAATTGTAGAAATTAAATATACATTTACGAGACTAAAGCAAGCAGATCAAGTCACAGCTTTTATCGAAGATGCACTACAACTTAGATGGATATTCTACATAACCTTTTGTATAAAAATGATTGACTAAATTTTCCATGGTGTTGTATATGTGCAAGTCTTATGCTAAAAACAAAATAATGGCATGTCCACTTCATAGGTATGGAATCAGGGGACAATCTAAACATTTTGCTCACAGTATGGAACACCCACTGTCAGGTTGAAATTATAAAATCCTCTTGATTAATAGTGTGAACTTTGACCATATAAAAATAATAAGGAGATGTGGTATGATTGCTAGTGGGAAAACTATATCTAAAAGGGTCTAAATGATGTGAAACAATTCAAACAAGAAAACCAACAGGCTGATTTATGACAAAACATATGTCTGATAAAGACCAATGACAAACCACTGAATTACAGGCTCCCGACTTGGGACAGGCAAATAATAATGTGGTCAGCTTGTTTCCTATCTATTTTCTTAAATATTTTAGGAAGCAGTGCCATTTGCTGTTATTGGTAGTAACACAGTTGTAGAGGCAGGAGGGAAGAAAATTAGAGGAAGGATGTATCCATGGGGGATTGTTGAAGGTAAAATATATACAATGTTAAAGAAGGAAATGGTAACAAAAATACAACATTACATAGCCACTTCTGTTGCATACATAGAAACATTGAAGAAGATAGATACAAATCTGTTAAAAATAAGATTTTCTTCCAGTGATAAACACAATTTTCAGAAAAACAAAGGTGTATTAGAATAGCTACTCCATGCTAATCAAGAATGCACTATTTTTACAGCAAATTATGAAATACTAACAAATAATGTAGCTTATATCTGAGATTTTTTTCAGCAGTAATCAAGATACTATGGATATAAAATTATGGAGATATGGTATGAATGTCAATGAGACAACTATCCATAAGAGACCAAATAATGCGGATGTATAGATTCATTTATCTTTGTGGGAACCAAAAATTGTTGATTAGGGAAAAGTTGTCTATTTTTATGCCCCCTTCGTTATCAGAGGGTGCATTAAGTGTTTCACTTGTCTGTCCTTACGTCCCAAAATTGGTTTCCATTCCCTAACTTTTGTTTTCCTCAACCAAATGTTATGAATTTATACACAATGTTTAATAATACAAAACCTGGATCAAGTTCAAATTTGTGTGGCATCACTTTTGCAGTTCTCGAGTTATGCCCCTTTATAATGTTAAATGTAAGCGGGGGCATCATCTGTGTCCCATGGACACATTCTCCTTTTATTTATTATACCTGAATACAGTTTTGACAAATTCTACATACAAGACTTTAGGAATTTTGTATTTTATTTGAATTTTGAAATTTGTGCTTCACCTATATACCCCAAAAATTCATGAAAATGTATATTGTACGATTACTAATGAATCAACAGGATGCTTTGCCACATTGTATTTTGCTGTTTTTTTTATGAAATTATTTTGGTTCTTGTGATTGAGTCAAGGGAGATAACAATTTGCCATGTAATATATGATCACTGGCTTGCTTCTTTTTTAAATTGTTTAAATTCATTGCCTTTGACTTTAAATATTGGTAGCAATTATAGATAACTAATGTTCATGAAATAAAACAACTGCATATTTCAGTCATAAAGATTGTGAGATGAGAAATAATCCATGTTTTATACATGATATATAGAAACAAAAATAAGATAGATGAAAGCAAACAATGTTATGAAAGTTTACACATTATTAAGTAATATGATTGATAGGCTATGTAACAAGTCTTGCATGTGATATAGATCATGGTGATTAATTAAAAAAAAACAGAAATCTGTTGTTATTTTCAAGGCTATTATAATTGTGACATGGGAGGTAATCCATGCACATACCAATAAAACATCAAAAGACAAAAAAAGTTTAACACTTTGAAAACTGGTAACATCAAATGTGTGAATAAAGATGTATCAAGAATGATACGGTTTTCTAAATTTTAAATAATCAATTCTTGATACAGTTTTCCAAATTTTAAATGATCAATAAAATTATTTAATTTTTATAATTGATATTTTGCTTTCTTTTTGAAGGATAATAAACAAATCCTTTCTTATTTGAAATTGTGTTTTTTTTTTCAGTGGATAATCCAAAGCATTGTGATTTTATAAAGCTGAGACAGATGCTGATCAGGTAAAATTTATTTTAATAATTGTACATTTAGACCCCATTTACACTAGCAAAAAAGATCTATCTTTACTGAGATCGATCTTTTTAAGATTGATCTTTGGTCTAATGTAAACGGGAAAGATCGATCTTCAATCGGACTTAAAAAGTCTACCTCTAGAGGTGGTTTTAAAAAGATCGATCTTTTTTGAATCGATCTTTTTTCCAGTGTAAACGGTTAGATCGATCGCAATCGATCCTTTTAAAAGTGAAAGTGTATATTTAGACTTGAAATAAGTCTGTGCATGTTCGTCGCCAAATATACACGTGTTTAAAACAATGGACGGCAAAAGAGGAGATGCATGGAGTCAAGAAGAGACTGTACTCTTAATAGAATTATGGGGTGATCAACATATCCAGGATCAATTGGAAAACACGCCGAAGAGAAATTTGGACATATTCAAGAGGATATGTACTGATATTAAAGACAGGATTCCCGAATTTGACAGAAATGCACAGGACTGCCGTGCAAGAATCAAAAAACGAAGTATTTTTAAACAAAACGTGAAAATAAAAAATCAGGAGGTAGACGAAAAACGTTTCCATACTTTGAGAGACTGCGGGATATGCACACGTTATTGCTTTCTATTTTTACGATTGTTTGTTTACGAAATGCAAGGTAATTAGGTCAGACCGGTTCTTTTATATTGTAGTGTAAACGCATCGGATTAAATAAGATCGATCGCAATCGATCTTGCGTGTGCAGTGTAAACGCAAACTGGTCTTTTTAAGATCGATTCAAATATAGATCGATTCAATTTCGTACAAGTGTAAACGGGGTCTTACATAAAACTTAAAATTATTTTTATTTTAAAAATGTTATAAATTAAATGCCATTGTATCAGAAACCATTTTGATGTTAAAGAATCTGATTAATTTTCCGTATTATTTTCAAAAGCGTATAAATTATTTTTTACACTAAAAAGTTGTGATTGGCTTATAATGTCCAAAACAATGGAAATCAACCAATGATATGACATTGTTTTCATTTTGGGTAACTAACAAAAAAATTACCCATAGTTCTTAAATCCTGAAACCTTTAAGTGCCCCTTGATGCTCATGAATTTGTTGCTGTTAATTGTTTTGAGGCCATATTAAAAGAAGATAGCCTTATTTCTAAAAAATATCCATTTGTATGCACCTGTCCTAAGTCAGGAGCCTGTTGTTCAGTGGTAGTCGTTTGTTGATGTGGTTCATAAGTGTTTCTCGTTTCTCGTTTTTTATATAGATTAGACCGTTGGTTTTCCTGTTTGAATTGATTTACACTAGCCATGTTGGGGTCCTTTATAGCTTGCTGTTAGGTGTGTGCCAAGGCTCTGTGTTGAAGGCTGTTATTTGACCTATAATTGTTTACTTTTTATACATTGTGACTTGGATGGAGAGTTGTCTCATTGGCACTCATACCACATCTTCTTATTTATATATAGAGATTAATTCCATTATGGGTAAACAATTTTTGTAAAAGTTTCTAAATAAACAAGGATGATTAGACCGGTGTGTTCCCATTTCGCCTTAGCTGTGAATTCCAGGTAAAAAAGGTAAAAAAAATACTAAGGCGATATGGGAATTGAACTAAGGCGAAATGTGAATTTAGATAAAAAATTTAAATAAACAAATTAAACCTCTGTGTTTTTATAACAATTTAAACAACATGTAATTACGGAAGTGTTTCTCTTGAATTATTATTTTTATATTCATTTATTAAAACTGACAATTTTTATGATTTCAAAAGTTGTGAAATCAGAAAAAATCTTCAATAAAAACATTAGTCAGTACGAAAGTTGCTTCTCTTATGTTTAATTTAATAAAAGTTGCAATTTTATGAATTTTTTGCAATTAGAAAACTTTACATTATGCAACACAAAAAGTTCAAAAGAACAACAAAAAAAACTGTTTTCCCACAGACTTGTTAGCATATATATTAAACAAAAACTTTAATAAAAAAATAAAATAATAAAAAAATCTTTAAAATTGTGTTAATGTGCATCCAGAAATGCAGTTGCTCATGTCTTTCCAAACGCAGAACTCAAAGGTTGTTTGTTCCACTACGCAAAAGCCATATGGAAAAAGACACTAGAATATGGGCTTCAAACTCAATACAAAGATGTCCCGGATGTCAACAAACTCGTCCATCGTGCAGCAGCCTTACCATTACTGCCCTTAGATCGTTTGGTTACACGCCTTGGAAAACGCACCACAGACAGATGCTTGCACCAAATTAACCTACTATGTAATTCTGACATGGATAGAGGGCAGATACCCACAACCAACCTGGAACCACCACCAAACAGAAGGACCCAGGATAAATAATCATTTAGAGGGCTGGCATAACAAGCTGAAAAAGAGGGCCAAAACAGCACATCCAAACATATTTGAAATTATCAATGTGTTCGAGAAAGAGCAAACAGCTAACAAGGTAAAGAAAGTACAGTATGCAGCAGGTGGCAAGAGGAGGGGGAAAAGCTAAAAAGTATAGAGAAGTAGAAGAAAGATTCACCACTTTGAAGGAAACCCTACATAATGGTACAACTGACTACATTCAGTATGGTGATGCAGCATCCTACATCCTTAAACTTGGAAACTAAATGAATTTTGAACATTCAAATGTGTACATCAGTACCTTGTTTTTCACAATATGAACTATCATATATAGTACTATTTATTTATGTTTATGGAAATAATTCTTATGTTTTATGTATCAGTGCTTTTTTCTCATGCTATTATTTATTACATGTACATTTTCTCTATTAGTATTCTAATCTAAAATTGTGTGTGCTTGTAATTCAGTGCTGATTCAGAAATAAAATATTTGTTATGATTGTGTGATATTTGTCTTTATTTATTCATTAAAATATGAAATATTCCGTATCCTATTTGTCATCTCTAATAAGACTTTATTTACAAAATATATCGCATAAGTATAAAAAAATACATATTCAGAAAAAAAAGTGCAACTATAAAAAAGAATTATTTAAAAAGTGGGACAATCGGGTAGACACCAAAAATAAAAAAAAAAAACTCTTCTTTTAAAAAGTATTTCATGGCAGAATTTGACATCAAAATAACAAATATCAACTAATTGCAATACAAACAAAAAATAACTTAATTACATTGTTTACACAAGCTCCCATTTCACCTTAGTTAATTCTTGTGTACCTGAAAATTTGTACTAAGGCAAACTGGGATTAATTTTATATAATGATTTTGACAGCTAAGGCGAAATGAGAATAAGCCATTAGACCTGTTTAATTAACAAGGATGAAAGTTGTATTTTGGAAATCGTTTATTGCTTGACCATCTCTTTAAATGAAACAGTTTCCATATAGATACAGGTTATGTATGTTCTGAGCATGAAATTATATAAACAATTGAACAATACAGATATGAATCAAAATTTAATAAAAATATGGAAAAAAAGTGGTCTGAAGACCGATGTGGTATATTTGCCAATGAGACATCTATTCACCAGAGACCAAAGGATGAGGATATTTAGAACTGTAGGGCACTGTATGGCCTTTAACAATGAGAAAAATGCATACCATATAGTAAGCCTTAAAAGGCACTGGCATGACAAAATAGGAAATAATAAAACAAAAATTCAATAAAACAAGCAAAAAACAATTGAATCATTTATGCTTTGCATGATTTGTATATTTCGCTTTTTTCTCTATTTCCCTTAAATGAAATATATGATCTTTATCTTTCAGTACACATATGCAGGATTTGAAAGACATCACTTCTGAGATTCATTATGAAAACTATCGAGCAGAATCTTTGTTATCATCTGAAGTCTCCAAGTCTAGTAGAGAGAGGACGTAAGTTTGCTATTTATTTCGGCTCAAAGAGATATGCCTACATTACAATATGTTTTTACTTTTCGCTAAAAGGACTATGGCATTGTAAAGAACCATGTTTAATGGACAAACATTTGTAAAAGTGGCACCATAAAAGATATATATTTATAACACAACATTTGTTTGGTTTACTTATAAGAGTACATAGAAAAACCAACCAAATCCAAATCAAATCCAAATCAAAATACTTGTTCAAAATACCAAAAATTGAGATACATCCAAACTGTAGTAAATTGTTTCTCCCTTACCATCTTTCATTAATACCATATAGCCGCCAATTGTAGCAAGAATTATGTTATAGGAAAGTTACTGAGCATGATATGATTAATTTAGTTCTCATCTTGTATTTGTACTCTTGTCAGCTTATTTTATTCTTGTCTCCTCCGTTGTACCTATAAGAAAACAAACATAATTTTTGACCATCTGTCTTTAAGAATGAGTAAAAACATGATAGTAAATTATTCTAAAGAAAAATTAAATACAAATGTCACTATCATTTAAGAGCAACATGAAAAAAGGTCAACCAAAATATTACTTTCTAAAGAAAGGGGAAATAACTCTAAATGCAATCAAAACATTATAGAAAAGAGGTTGTTCATAAAACTATGATCAACTCAAACGACTTGTCTGATTTGTTTGACAGGAAATTGAAGAGAGATTCCATAGCAAACTTAGACAAAGCCATGGAAACAGAACAGTTGTTGCAAGAGAAAGAAGCAGAGGTATTGTATTGTATAAATTGTGCAGTGAAAATGTTTAAATTGAACCCTCAAATTGGATACGCAAGATACATGTCTAAAGTGAACCATTAGTGTAAGGAAATTGAAAATAAAATTCTTAGAGTTTAATTTTTGTAAATTTACACATGTCTGAACAGAACAAAAAATCTTCTAAAAGATTTTCCTAATATATGTTCTCTTTAGAAAGTTTTCACTGTAGTTTATATAGAGTACTGTAAATTCTGAAATGATTTGGATGTTTTAAGTATTGAAGACATTTTACAATATCAATATCCTATCAGTAACCACTCACATTTTTAATTCCATGCCATTGTTTGAATGTAGAACTTCCTGAAACTACATTAATTAAAATTGCATTGTTGACCCTTGATTTATAATTCCAATAAGATATGCATGCATATATATCTCATTCCAATAAAAAAGGACAGAAAGGAGAATATAATCTACTACTCTACATTTTGTACATGTATATATCAGTAGCTTGTTGTTTCCATAGATAGGAGGATTATGCCAGACATTCCTGTTTCCTATATAGTCCAGCAATAGATTTATTTGTTTTATTAACCATTCAATATTCATTTACATTTTTTTATTAAAAGAGCAATATTTTGTACCTGTCTTTTTTTAATTTTTTTCAGATACAACGAATGCAGGAAATGTTGGCCAAGATGCAAGCACAGTTACAAAGTAGCCCCAATTCCCAAAATGGTCGATTGGGCAATGTACGGTGATAGACATGTAGGCAGTGTACAGTCATTTTAAGTGTATAAAATGTACAATTTTCTAGTTTACAAGTAATGAGGCACTGTAAACAGGATGTACAGTAGGCCTGTGTAGATTTGTTATGGCGGCCATGGTGCAATTTTTAAAGTCTAACAAATTTATAACCAATTTACAATTTTCTGTAATTTTCAATTACGGTAACACTAATTTATACTGCTTATGTGATGATATAGATCTCATCTTTCGTTTACAACAGTCTGAGGTCAATTCAATAGGTCAACTCACGAAATATTGGTTGGAGTCTCCCAATATTATTTTTAAATTGGAAATCTCTCTATAAGACCAGTCTCCTGTCAGACAAGGAGGTTGAACAGGGCTTCCAAAAAATATTTGAGCCAGCCTGACATTTTTTGTCTTATCCTGATTTTAATCCCTTAAGACTAAGTAACAAAAGGCAATAATGGTAATCAGTTGGGAATCATATAAGCAATGATTGACATAAAAGTGATATTAAACTTGATTTTTCATATAAATTCGATGTTCTGACATAAATTGTAGAATTGACAGTGCATCATTCGAAGTGTTCAACATCAGTGTACTAATATCTGCCTTAGACTCTTTATTTGTGCAAAATTATGCTGTCAACAACTTCACTTTAATTTTTAAAAGCACCTTTTCCTAATACTGGATGTTAACTTGACAATGGTAAAACACGGACCAGAGATGGATACGTAAAATCTGTGTACGTTTACAAAGCACAATAAAGTTTAAGTAGCTCTTTCCACGTTATTTCTTCAAGATTATACTGGAAATGTGTGAACATGCACACAAGTGTACTATTTCAAACAAATGGTTCTAATGGTTTTTCGCTTAAAAAGTTTATTACTAACTTTTCAAATTTTCATCAAATCATATTTATATACGTATTGCTGATATTCTAAATCTTTTTGACTGAATTTATTAAATGGAAACCAATGAAATTTAAGTAAATAACTTTAAATAGACTGATCAACGTCCAGTACAAAATATTTTCAGCTGTCAGACAACTAAATAACCTTGATTGTAATGAGAGGGTATTAAAGTAAGGGTTTGTTTTAATAGTAATTATTCATCAAGTCACTTTTATAATCAGAAATGTGTGGTTGTTTAATGTTTAAGGCAAAAGGTCACGTCAAAAGATCGCATAAACTTCAATTTTTTTTCTGAATTATGCAAACCCACGTTATATGTCCATTTCAGGCTCTGCACAACAAGTCAAAAATATAATTTAACAGTCAAGTCAGGACAGTATGACCATTTTGGAAGCCCTGAGGTTGAATCCACCATTTTTAGGGAAAAAATCTAATATCTCTCTTTAGAACCATTATTTCATTTAAAATAGTTGAGGAGGTCCATCATTATTTGAAATGGACATTTTGTAGTTGGGTTGCTTGTAATTATTGTTAAACATTATTTGTTTATACACTATTTAAAGTGTCCAAACTACCTGACTGGTATATTAAGCTAATTAATTCACTAATTTTTCAACTGGTTTGAATGTAGATTGTATTTTTATTTATATTAATAGTATAACTGTGAAATGTAAGATAGAACATTATAAAGAACAATAATGAAACAGGTTCCTTGAGGGTGATTTCATGCCTTGTATCTTTGAAAAGTTGACACATTCGCAGTCAATTTTTAATGAAAATTTCTGAACATTTTCAATTTGTATATTGAGCACAAAATTGTATGTATGTAATAAATTCAACTGACAGTTATAGAAGAAACCTTAAATACAGTACCTTGACCATTTGTTTGTTGATTGGAATATTGAAACATTGTGTACCATTTTACTCTTTTCCCTTATTTTCCAAAGCATTCCTTTTGGGGTATCAGAAAGGCTGATATAGACCCCAACTTTCAAGCATAGAAGTGGTAAAAAATCAAAATCCTCTGTTATACTACTGCTAGTATTTTAATCATAGAAGGGATTATAAAATTTCACCATGCTCTGTACAATATAATTGTGCATTCTTATTTGTTTCATATTTTTTCTAAAATATGATAGTCTTTGTGCATAATTTGTCTCCTATGAAAAATAATCAAGCCTACATTTCTGTACGTACGGGTTTTTTTTGTGCTGCTATCTCCCACAAATTTGTCATGATTCTTTAAAATAGTAAAATAGGCAAAATACTATCCGATTACCTTGTTTTGCAATTCAGTAGGGAATATTATTTCTAAAGTTATACAGATATTTTGATTAATGCTGGTTAGGGTTTGTTTGATATTTTGCCATTGTGTAATTACGTGGCATTTTCCGTTGAAGCAGTTGTAAAAGTTATTCTTGGAAACAGAAAATTAAATCTAGTTATCTCCCTTGCACCAGTTTTAACCAGTACAGAATTTATTGGTGAATAATAATGAAACAAGAAGATATGAGTAGTTAGTTGATGTAATACATGCCCTGATTAAGATTATCCTCGCATGATGGGTTTTTCTACTATTAAGAATGCATTGTGACGTCACAATTTCCATTGAAAAAACATGCATAGTACGAATGCATATGACGTACGAAAACATATGATCTGACCATAATAATAAAACATGATAATGCCATTATCATCCATGTACTCAGAAGTATTATGTAATAAACCTTTGATATAATGTTTCTTGATAATTTGCCATCATAATATCACAATAAAACATTAACTACAATCTATGTGTAGTTTCTTTAATTATTATTTAACATTTATTTTATCGATATGATTTTTGTTATGATTTATATCATTATGACATTTTTTCATCATTTCTAGAAATATATTGTCATCATTTTTTCATTTCAAACAATGCCATGTAAAATTTAAACACATTTATCTTAATGTTACAATACCATTGCATAATTTGTATTGAATACATGTGGCAAATAAGCTGCACACTCCAGTGGAAGCTAGGGTAAGATATTTGCCACATTTTATCAATTTAAACAATTTTAAAGAATACAGCATAAGTTTAGAAATATGGGAAAACTCTAGGTCTAACCCTTTAATATTTCCTCTTTATAGAACATATTTGACGCCGCCCTATGACAATGAAAATATCTGACTAGCCTCAGTTAAGTATATATTTTGACAAGAAGAATTTCAAACCATCTAGCATTGTTTTAGATAAATAAACATGTATATTATGCACTAAGACTTTTCAAACATGTCTGACGATCCATGATTTACCCTAAGCACTCTTGTCTGATTTCTTTTAAATTATATGATCGCATTCAATCCAATTATAAAAAATCTTTTTTTTTCTTTTGAAGACAGTGGTAATGAATAAAGCATTTATGGTAATGGGACCAAACCTTATACCTGTATTTATCCTTAAAGCAGACAAAATCTATTAATTGTATTACATATACATGGATCAATTTATAATTATGTAATTAGAATTGTTATTTCTTATGTACTGGTACACATGCTGTAAGTCTACATATTTGAAAAAGGTCAAAATTATCAGGTCGTGCTATCCTTTCGTTTATAATGGGCATGAGGTTTGTGATATAGACACTTGTTTATATTTATATAAATATATATTTATATATTTATATATGTCTTTTTAGCTCACCTGGCCCAAAAATAATGATAAGGGGTCTTCAGTAACTATTGTAAGACTACAATGGGATGACCTGCTTTAAATTTTACTACTGGGCCGAATTAAAGCAAACTTGGCCTCAATCATTATTAGGGTATCTAATACTAGTTATTATGATTTTAACCTTATTTTACATGATTTCCAAAACCACAGTAGATACAGGTGAGCGACACAGGCTCTTGAGAGCCTCTAGTTTTTTTGTGTCATTGGGTTGCTGTCGTAAACCACACACAGCCATTTATTGATATACCTAAATATATTAATGCACTTTTATTTTGGTCATTTTATGATATATTAATTTTCATTATAAGAATGTCTTTCCCCAAAGTTTTGCTCGTCTTTTGGGATAAATTGCTTCCTTTGATACAGGTTTATTTTAAATCGTAAATCAATGCTAATTTTTGATATAGTCAAAGCCTGCAGCGCTTTGAATAAGCAGAGAAAATATACAGGGCACCAGTTTCATGAAACATCTCAAATTGAAGATTCTTTCAATGAAACAAACAACCAATTAAAAATTATATTTTTAGATTTCAGAAAGCATTTTTTTTTTAGAAAAAAGCCCAAATAAAGTTGAGTTATGATGTTTTATTTTATTAATGTTTCATTAAATTCTTAATTATTAATTTAAGTGCATTTGTAATACATTGAAAAGTGAAAAAAAGACCTCACTTAAAATCATGTGATGTCTCCATTCTGGATTGTTTCAACATAGAAAAGCAGTTTAAATAAACTGTTTTTTTTTACAGATTTTAGTACACTCCAATAATTTTATGAAAATCTATATTTTGGATATTTTATGAAATTGAGACGTAAAATAAATACTTTTCATAGTGAGAATAGACAAGGATATGAGTTGTGTAAAATGTGTTCATAGTTAATGTACAAAGTAATTTTGTATTTAAATAAATATTGTTGTTTTGTCTTTACATGTATACTTTTTTATGTCCCATCTATGAAATTAGAGGGATATTATGTTTCCCGGTCTGTTATATGTCCATTGATATCTGTCATGTATCGGGTTAAAACAGAGTCGAAAGATACCAAAGGGACATTCAAACTCATAAGTCGAAAATAAATTGACAATGCCATGACTAAAAACAAACAGACTAACAATAGTAAACAAAACAGAACATAGAAAACTAAAGACTGAGCAACTCAAACCCCACCAAAAACTGAGCGTGATCTCAGGTGCTCTGGAAGGGTAAGCAGATCCTGCTACACATGTGGCACACGTCGTGTTGCTCATGTTAGTACAAACCCGGTGATAAGTCTAATTCGATAGGTCACATTCGGGGGAAAGGGGATAAGATTATAGTTAAGACAATTGGAATACAGCTGTTGTCATCTATGACACAGATTTTCCATAACAGTCAACCAACACGTGATGGCGTCCGTAATTTTACGAAGGGACGATTTCAACTTCACCACTTGGAACTCAGACTCATATGAATAAAGAAACAAAGTCGGCAAGAAGAGGAGCACAGTTGGTTTCCTTAGGAATGCTGATTGTTTGTTGAAAAACATGTTCTCTAAACGTAACAAATATGTTATCAATTAAGAAATCAAGCATCTTGATAATGTCAGTTTTTTTTTGTTTCAATCAGAGTTATTTTTTACAAAGTACGATTTATCCCTCCCCAAGAAACTTGTATCTACGTAGGCCATTTTTTTATGAAACAAAGCAGGACCATCTCTTTCAATTTGTCTTTTAGTTTGGAATTGGGAATACTTGTGTTAAGTGTAGAAAGGTCAAATGTTTTATTACTATTGCAAGATGAAAGAGTCTTAGATTGTATGTAATCTAAACGATCATTAGAATTTATTAGTATTCACCTCTAGAATAGGTAGTTTCACAATAACTTTGAAGCCTGGCTTTGATTGCTGATAAAATTGAAGTTAATAATTTAGAAATAGGTTTAGTGGAGCACATGGAAGACATAGCAATATAACGTTGTTTGTAAAGACACTATGTAGTTTAGGTATCCAATACAGTAGAGGAAGATCCAGTTCTTCATCTTTGGTTGAAATTCCAAAGGAACATAGAACAGATCTAGGTTTCCATATAACATTGTTTGTAAAGACACTATGTAGTTTAGGTATCCAATACAGTGGAGGAAGATCCAGTTCTTCATCTTTGGTTGAAATTCCAAAGGAACATAGAACATTGCTCGATCATAACACAATAAGTATCTCCCAAAGGATGCACAACATGTTGTCCTTATGTTATCTGTTTTCAAACCAGCTTTTTCTTATAATCATTACTGTATACATTCAAAGGGTCTTTGCATTGGAAATAAACACATTTATTCTAAAACCAGCTGATGGCATTATACCGGTTATGTTCTTCTCGTATATTTTAGGATGGTATGATACTAAACCCCTAACGGGAGGGATTGTGCTTGATTTTCTTATGATAAAGAAATAATCTTGCTATTAGTTTTATTGAGGTCGGATCTGGCATGTCAGTAACTGCTAGTTGTCCTTTGTTAATTTATGTTGATTATTGTCATTTTGCTATTCTAACATCGGACTCGGACTTCTTTCAAACAGAACTTTACTGTGCGTATTGCTGTGTGTTTGTTTATTCCACATTGGCTAGAGGAATAGTGGAGGGTTGCGATCTCACAAAACATGTTTAACCGCACCGCATTTTTGCGCCTGCCCCAAGTCAGGAACCTCTGGCCTTTGTTAGTCATGAATGTTTTTTTTTTAATTTTGGTTGGTTTATATGTTTCGGAGTTTAGTGTGAGGTCTATTTTCGCTGAACTAGTATACATTATTGTTGAGGGGCCAGCTGAAGCCCGCCTCCGGGTTCGGGATTTTCTCGCTGTGTTGAAGACCCATTGGTGGCCTTGTGCTGTTTTCTGCTCTTTGGTCGGGTTGTTGTCTCTTTGACGCATTCCCCGTTTCCATTCTCAATTTATTTTGCAATTAGCTGGTCTTGACTGATGAACAATACAATTGGTGCTGTAAATGAAACATGATATGCCTACCCTTCCGGATCACATGACATAAGTCTTGGATCAAACTTGAGTTTATATTATCTAGGCATAAGTTTTCAATGTTGTTTATGAATACAATGCATTTTATGTATAAACCAATAAGACATCAACAAATCAACACCATTAAACCACTGACATGATCATGCGATTCCCTTATCAAACAATAGTACACAAAACAAATCAAAGACTGAGCAACACGAACCCCACCAAAAACTGAATTAGGGTCAAATATCACTAGCCAAATAGCCAGTGCTTATGTAACGGCATGGTAAGGGTTATTATTGTTTTTTGACATTTTAATTTGACCAAAAAGTGTTGTTTTGTTGGACAGATTATCTTCCCGACGCACAGATATTGCATTTAGTTTAGGTTTTACCTTATAAAATTAATTTGGGTTTTCAAATTTAGGTTTTGACTACTTCTGACGGTAAATATGCTTTAGTGCAGATACACAACATGCCTCGAATGCAAATCATTATCTGGTGTAATTTACCTATTGGCTTGATGCCACAGCTGCCTGTGGACTACAAGTCTTCGGCAGCTAGAGATTTTATTCGACATGTTATTAAGTAGTAATACTAATTCGCATATTGTAGAATTGATCTTTGTCCTCTGATACTTTTTGATATTTAATATTTAGTTTGGAGCGCAGTTGACTGGAAGTTAATTTCCGAAATCCGTATACTGTAGTAGCAGTACTCGTGAATCAAAATATGAAAATATATTAAACTTTAAATTATCAAATGATTCAAGTTTCCCACTGAAAACTTCCCATGTTTGTAATGCAACTTCATACCAAGTGCATATTGTCAATTTCTTCGGTATTTCATCAGTATTTCTTGAATGAGGGTTGCAGTCTACAGATAATCTTTTGTACCATTGGTTCTTAATGGTGAAGTTAAAAGTCAAAAGTTTGGGTGGTTCTCCTGTATAAACGAGGGACACCAGTTTTTCACACTTTTTGTTATTAAAAGATACAAAAAGAAATAATTTTGACAATGAATGTTACAAAAGCTAATTACAGAGTACACCAGAATTTTTAATATAATGATAGTTAGTTTATTTTTCACTTGGTCAACGCACAGTGGGTCAACGCGTTTGTCAACTTATGGATTATGAATTTTGATTGCCCTTGACATGTTTTCTAACTTTTATGCTGATTAAAAAATTATTAAAAAAAAACTGAACTTACCGAACTAATGGAAAACAACTGTCATATTCCGGACATGTTTCCTTACAGTCATTTTCCGAAGAAAATAGTGGGTTAAGCCTGGTTTTATAACTAGCCATACCTCCCACTAATCTGCAAATAGCTTCTAAACTTTATACGAATTATTAAAACTTAAAACTCTAACAGAGAGGAGCAGCAACTATCTTTAAACAAATAAAAATTAATGTATTGCCATCTATTTCACTTTATTTTAAAAGATCAAATAAACATTCTCAAAATTCGAATAATATTTTTAAACTTAATTGGAAAATTTGCATCATTAAAAATTTTATATTAAGTTAATGCCTGTAAGGTGTATTTTTATTATTATACCCTTAGTAAGGTATGTCATTAAGTTTGACAGTAGAAGAATTTAATGAATTTCTCGTGGATTAAATCTAAACAACATTGTTGACATTTGCAATACACATCTATTATTGTCCAGTTTGTTCTATGTCATACTGTGTAATATTTAGGTCATTTGTCCACTAGTCTGATGGTCAGCCTTAGGCACATAATCTATTGACAACGCAATATAATACACAAATTTGTTGCCAGCTAAATGACAATATTTGTCTCATATTCATGTAACTCTATATTGTAAACATTTTTCTTTCAGTTTTCAAGGACAAATAACATTTTTCCTAAACCACAAATATTCAGATTTCGAACTGTTTCTTTGATGAAGAGAGCTAAGCTTTAAAACAAAAAAGAATAGTTTTAATACACCATTTTCTACACCAGGTGGTGTCTGTACCGAGTCAGAAATATGACAGTTGTTTTTCATTCGTTTGATTTATTTGAGCTTTTGATTTTGTCATTTGGTGAGGGACTTTCCGTTTTGAATTTCCTTGGAGTTCGGTATTTTTGATATTTTAAATTTTAATTTCACCATATTTATATCGTTAATCTTTTAAGCATTAAATGTGTATAAATAAAGCATAGTGATACAATTGATGAATTTAAATTTCGGGAAACTCAGTTTAAGCCATATTATGAGATTGTAGAAACAGAAAATCTTTCAACTATAGCTATAAATGGACAGGTTTCATTTAAAATTCTTCAATAATAATAACAATTATAATCATAATGATAATGAGATTTTTTAGTAGAATTTGACACGAGAAACCGGAATAATCTCCATTTGGTATGCTAAAGAAAAAACGTTTTGAGGGTCAGTTTGTAACATATTTTTTGGGGCATCACAAATACAAAAACCTGAAAAGAACAGTCAGGTTTGTCTTAAAAAAGAATAAACAAACATATCGAGCTCCAGGGTAAATTCAAGAAAGGGGGATCCATAAAATCTGACAAAATCAAACGCTCGACTATATTAAACAACGGGACGAATGGAAAACAAATGCATATTCCTGACAAGAACAGGCATTTTTCGAAGAAAATGGTGGGTCAAACCTTATTTCATAGCTAGCTAAACCTCCCAATTATATGACAGTGGTTTATAGATCCTTTATATTGACAAAATTGGATGAGCAAGCTCAACAGACATACATTAAGGAATAAACTAAGGAAATAAATTAAACCTTAGTGAGATCTTATCGTAAAATAAAATGAGAACAACACTTTATAACTTTCATGTGTCCGAAGAGCTTTTCTTGATTTGCCTTCATCAGGAACACTCATAGCCAAATATTTAAAAGGTGCCAACTCCCTCAGGCAAAGTTGGCCTTAGATGAAATTGGCTAAAATTCCTTTT